ACACGGGAAACGAGGGACGTTTCATACTCCAAGTGATGAAATGTGCCTCGATCCCCGGTCGTCGGCATTCTTGATTACCCATGATAGAATCGTTGGCTTCATGTGTTCATACTTGCATTCATTCCATTGAGTCGTGCAATTCAACTCCTCGGCCATCATGCATCAAGATGCGTGATTGGTGGTGCGAGGATCGAGGTCTACATTCCCTTGAGCTTGTGCAAGGACGGGGAGAGTGGTCTTGCACATATGTTGAAAATACCTTGCTTTCTCTCTCTCTTGCCTTTGTTGCAGAAAAACCAGAATCCAGTGGCAGAAAGTGGTCGGCCGACCAGGTTTTCTGGCAGGCCGACCACCTTTTTTGGTCTCCACCACAAAGGATGGTCGGCAGGTGGTCTCCATAGCCAAGGGTTGGTCGGCAGCCTTCCCACTGCTTCCCAGGGTGGAGTTTCAACCTCTTGAAGCTTTGTGCAAGTTTCTGAAATCAATTGCATACAAAGGCGAGACGAGGCATCGCGACGGATTTCTCGACAAGGTGACTCGAGCATGCATGCATCCATTGTCATCCAAAACAGAGCCGAGGGCAATGTTGTAATAAGTGTGCGTGTGTGTGATGTATGTCTTCCAACCCCACGTCTTTCTCCCTTTTATTTACCAGCTTATGATGGTTAGATTAGAGCACGTTTCAATTAGCATCTATATGTTCACATGTTTGCATTCATTCATCTGTATTGCATGCATCGGGCTCGGCGCATCATACTAACTACATTATACTTCAATTCCGAGTTGAATACATGTATCGATTGTTGCATCTCATATGCCATTTTAGAATAGCCGAGCCTATCTTAGTTACATTTTTGCATGTGTTACATTAGGTATTTCAGCATAGTTAGGATTTGTGCATGATTTCTAATTAGCTTCTTTCTTTGGCTTAGAGTACTCAGTGAGTATTTATGCTTTAGCATCCTTGCATGCGTGTGAGTGACTGCCATGATAGCATGCTTACCATGAGGCTATTTGCTTATGTGATATAACTGCCTGAATGCCTGTGGGTAAAGGTTAGATTGCCTGAATTGAGACAATTCATTGATTGCGAGTTTTAAGCCCACTTGAGAGTGGCAAATCATCATGTTTTTCTAAGCCCACTTGAGGGTGGCAAAATCCGTACTTTAGCCTACTTGCGAGTAGCAAACCGTTTTCAAAACAAACATGAGATGATTTGTTCCAACATAGGTGATCCAGTCTATACTTGTATACTGTGTGCATCACATAGTAATTCTAGACTAATAACCGGAATAAGAGCACATAATGTTTTTGAAACTCGATATCATGGTTAGTAGAGGCCGATCTTTGATCGGGCGAGCGAGGGTGCTCATGAAGTGACCTTCCCCAATCGTACCCAAGTTCCTGAGCCGAGACAACTTTGGTGATGACAGACACGTGGCCTTAGGCACGAGTCAAGGTTTCCTAAATTCCCCAAAAATAAAATATTTAGGTGGCGACTCTGTATCTAGCAAAGCAGTCCATGTTTGGCACTTCTTTCTAAAAATCAGTTTTTCAAAACGATTTGCCGGATTTGGACTTTGGTGATTTATCGGTCTTGCATTGCACTTTGCGAGATTAGATTCAGAATCGTGACATTAGAGTCCGAACTGTAGTAAGCCCCAATGAACAAAACGAGATTCTCTCCCGGGACGTCTACACATACAGGCGCAAGACGACTTACGAGCGTGTCCGGAGTACGATCTAGTACGAAAAAGACGCATGGCTAAAACGATTGGGTTATTTTGCATGACAGCTCATACGCGTGAAGGAGTTTTTGGAATTTTTTATCTTTAAAGAAACATGTCGGCTTTATATGATACCTCGGCTGAGAAACTTTAAGCCGATGTACTGGCAGGAAGTACCGATATAGGTTCCATCACCTCAGAATACCGAGGTAATAAAACCTAGGGGGCAGTTGTGGGGACATATTTTCTGAGTACCAACACGTAGCCAAGGTGACGCCGACGTGTCAATCGAGGTGCCACGTGTCCTGGTCATGACGCCGAGGTGATCTCAGTAAGGCTGAGATCATCTCTGAAGATATCGGAATCCGAGATAAGCGGATAAGGCACAAGAGTCCTAAAATGATGAGGAGCCTCAGCCTGGATAAGGATAAAGCTCTTAGGGAGTTTATCTCTATCCATTGAAGAGTCCTGGATAAGCACTGAGCTAAAGTCCATTGGAGCTAGGCTTCTATTGGGACTAGGATTGAGTTAACTATAAAAGAAAGGCATCCCCGATGGGTTTAAGGTACGCAATTTATATTCTGAACAGTGAGTTTAGCACTATTGATTATCTGTGAGAGATATACTGACTTGATCATCGGAGTTCCCCCGGGTGGACGAACCACCACCGGAGTCTTCTCTTTCTGTTGCAGGTCAGCCAGGTGCCATCTATTCTGCCAGTGCCCTCCAGCTGAATACTGAGTTGGTAGTGTGGTCAGAAAATCACTCACACAGAAATTATGAATTTCATTTATATTTCTTATATAACAGTAATAGGGGAGTACTTCAATGTGGCCACAACAACAAAAAACTATATATATATGGCCAATCGATTATAATTTTCATAGTTTATATTATACATTTATGTTCATTCAACTCTTCAAGAATTTGAGTACTCTCATTCTTAAAGAGTTGGGAAAGCATTGTTTGCACCATAAATAAATTTTCCGTTGATTATGACTAAGTTTAAATTTTCTATTACTTCTTCTTCTTCTTCTTCTTATTGTTATTATTATTGTTATTATTATGCAGATAATCTTGGAGATTAAAAAGAAATTAAGGCAAGTTTTGAAAATTCAAGGGATGAAAGACACATGTCATTGTAAGAAAGAAGATGAAAAATTTAGGAATTTAAAAATAGTTATTTAGGTGGTAATTAATGGAAATTTTTTCCTTCATTTTTTCTATAAATTGGCTCTATTGTAAGAGACCAACAAATCAATACATGACTGGATTTATATTTCTTTTCTATCATAGAAGTAGATATAATTTACATAGGAGTAGTTCAAACTTAAATAGGAGTAGTCTTAATATATTTTATTTGTAATTTAATTGTTCTTTCAATCATTTACATCATCATCATCTTCTTCTCTTTCTCTTTTTCTTGTTTGTATTGCCATTATTTTTACACCAAGGAAATCCTTAAACTTTCAAGGTATAAAATTGTTGGAAATGGTTGGGAAATTCTGGGTAAAATCAGAATTTTTTCCTAAGCTTGGTCTATTTTTTAGGTGGGACCCGAGCGTTAATTTATGTGGGTCAAAGTGGTAACGCGTTCTATGCCACGTTGTGATTCACGTGGTATATTTGGTTGCTCAAAACCATTACCGAGTGAATAGGAAATTGAAGCCAAAGTGTGCTCCATGGAAATGGAGTTTTGGTGAAACATCCTTAAAGGTTTGAATAAGGCTTGTCCCACATTAATTTGGTGGGAAGTTTTGAATGGGTTTATAAGGCATGGGTTTGGTACTTGGGGTGTGCCCCAAGGGGTACCCAAGTGTTTTAGAGTGAGAGGTTATGGGCAAAATGAGCTAGACCTATTGGACCCAAAAATCACCACACGCGCGCGCCGCCGTCCGTCCGGTCGAGCGGGTGCGTGGTGTGAAGTTGGGCTTGTTCTGCCAAAAACATTTGAATTTAATTTTATTTTTGGTAAAATAAAATCCAGAATTCAAATTAAACCAGAAATAAACTGATCCAGTTTTACTGTACATCCAAACAGGGCCCTTCCTGTTTTATCTGTTTGAATTAAGAACCCAACAGATTCAAATCTGTTTAAATTCAAAACCATACCTGTTCAAACAAGTTTGCACCTATTTAATTCAAAACCTACAGCCACCATTATATCTATAAATAGGACAACCCTCATTTGATGTTTTATATTAAAAAATTTCGTATTTCACCTCTGCAAATTCTATTCTTCATTTTGCTACATTTTATTTTTGTGAGAAAGAGTATAAATACTTAGTGTGTTCGTTAGGCAAACAATTTGTAGTGCTGCTATTGTTTGTAGTAGATCATTTTATCCTGGGAGATAGACGTACATATTCTGAAAGTACCGAGGAGATGACGAATCTGTCTTAAGGACACATTGTCAAACACTGGACTTGATTAGATAATTATTCAAAGAAATTAATCAAGTAAGTTTTTTAATTTATTATTCTGTTTTATTTGTTTATTTAATCAGATTTTAATTTTGTTTTTGTAACAAAATAAAATCCGTTTTTATTTTTTTATTTTTATTTTGAGTTTGATTTTTGTAATCAAACAAAATTCTCTCATTTCCTTTATTTCTTTATATTCTGGTTGTTGTTTAGTACACAACAGAATTTAATTTATTTAAATACAGTGAAAATTGTCCAACAAAAATCTCAACACAATTGCTTGATCATTGTATTGTTTGGTGAAATTTTAGTTAATGCTCTATCAATCTAAGCCTAGCAAAAATTTTACTAACACAATCATAAATGGGATAATCATAAAGAAAATAGTAGTATGGCTTGGAATCATCACTACAATTAACAAAGACAATTTTCAAATTCATAACAGTAATAATAATTACAGCATGTGAAGTTTATGCGATTTAGCTAGTCTTTCGCAGTCTTAACAAACAATAACTATCTTTTCAAGCATTAATCCACAAGAAAAGAACAGATGCATGAGCTAAACACCAAGGCAAAAGTTTGAGGAACAAGCAACACAAAAGGTCCTTATGTTTTAGCAACCATTTTTCTGCAATAACCAAATTAAAAGTGAAATGAAGATATCTCCTTTCACTAAACACTGCCATTCATCTGGTGATTTCTGCTGAACAATCAACAGACGGTATGGAATTTTTCAACCTCTTTGCTGACAGCTTGAAAAGAACTATTGGCATTTGAGGTCCCTTCTTGCGAAGTGCTACCAAATTCTGCAGATTGAGAGAAACCAACCATCTCTTCAGCCATTGCCGAATCATCCATTGAATAAGGGGCACTGGGTGCTGCACCTAGTAGTGTGTCCCTCAAGAGTTTTCACAACCTCAGACATGGGGGGCCTGAGTGATGGGGATAGGTTAGTGCACCACATTGCTAATTCCAATATTGTATTTGCTTGCTCTAAAGAGTAGTCTGACCCTAAGGACGGATCAACTAATTCTATAAGATTTCCTTTCTGTCGTAAAACATATGCCTGTCATACATTAAACCGAGTGATCTAGTTAGAAGGCATTATTTAAATAAAACACAATAAACAATTCTTTCTTCATAATACTAATTCATTAAACTTTTAGCAATACACACAAAAGATATAAATAAATGTAATTAGTAGAGTTACTAGAGTTTGTGTTTAGTTTTGGCTCACCAAATCTAAAAGGTAAACAATCTCATCATTTGGCCGATAACTGGTACTGTTCTTGCCACTGACAATTTCCAACGTGACAACTCCAAAACTATAAACATCTGCCTTATTTGTTAAGTGACCTCTCATGGCATATTCAGGAGCCATATATCCACTGCAAAAGACTTCTACGAGAATGATATGCATTCATCTTGAAAATAAATATAATTCCTAAAATAAGAAGTCATTTATTTTTTATTATGAGAATACTAATCTTCTATTACAAGAGATGATTTGCGATATGCAACATAGAGGGAGAGAGAGAGAGAGAGAATGATTTGGCCTTACGTGGTTCCTGCTATTTTAGAGACCACATGTGTCACTTCCTCTTCATAAAGCTTAGCGATTCCAAAATCAGATATCTTTGCATTAAAATCCTTGTCAAGAAGAATGTTTGTTGGCTTAATATCCCTGTGAACAATTTTCAATTTGGATTCTTCATGTAGAAAAGTCAGGCCTTTTGCGATTCCAAGACAAATTTGAACTCTGGTGGGCCAATTTAGTCTTGACCTCACCTCATTTGGACCTGTAGATAAGCCGATTTATAAAATTTATTTTATTTTATCAAAAAAAAAAAAAGGCAAAGTATTTTTTAAGGAAGTTCAGAGAACAGCTTGTCCTATTTACCAAACAAAGCATGCGCAAGGGAGTTATTTTCCATGAACTCATAGACAAGAAGAAGTTGGTTGTCTTCTGCACAGCATCCCAGTAACTTTACAAGATTTGGATGTTGCAGAGCAGAAATAGTTCCTACTTCATTTACAAACTCATGGATCCCTTGCCCTGATTTAGATGAAAGTTGTTTAACTGCTATTGCAGTTCCATTTAGAAGTACACCCTGCAGTCATGCGCAACATTTTTTGGATTAAAAGCAGCATGGATGTAAAACTGTATATGCTAGCCCAGGGTGTTAATATTGTTGAGTTCACCCATGTTGGGGGGGAGAGGAATGAAGAATATAGGAGGAAGAGGGATAGGAGGAAAAAAACAATTAGAGGTAGCTACCAT